AGTTCGTTAGAGAACATCTGAGTATAAAATTACAAGTTAATAGAAATAATAAATGTGCCTATCGTCCTGACGTCCTATCTTATATAGGTACGCTGTGACGCGGAGTGTTCTATCATTCTGCAAACTAAATAACTTTCAATAATTTTCGTTGTTTTTTAGATACCTACAGAATACAGAATAACTGGCTGTACCTACTTGCAAAGGTGGCAATTTTTTGCTAGGTACATACGTGTCTTATTTTGAAAAAAACTACATTTAAAATTTTAAATTACGCTTTGACTGCCGTTGGGTTTATTTTAGCGTAAACATATTAAATATAGGTAAGGAAAATATGATACATTCATACATGGGACGTGACAAATAAAACTTTACATGCGTAAGTTCTTGTAGGTACTAAGGTACGACTAAAAATTAGGTTTGTAAACAATATTATGTTAGTTACCACACCAGTGGCGTATTTAGGAATTTGTCATGGGGAGGGTCCAGATAATTTTCAGAACACAGAGCCACGGGAGACGAAGCCCCAAACACCACCCATTTACTCTTTATTAAATAAAATATACCATATTTATAAGACGATATAAAATTGTCGAGTTTTTAATTATAAAATAATAATATGTACAAAAATATGAAATACTTTTATTTTTTATTTTTTTCTATGGTGATGGACAAAGTGTTAGAAATTAACATCCCATTTTTAGCGGTTTTTTTTGGTGGTTTTTACATTGGCATTAAATAACTATTGAGAAAATCGAAAAATGACCTCTCTAAAGTACCTACTATCTTGATCCAATTTTCTAAAAGATAAGTTACTATATGTCTATACATGTTGAAATCGAAACACTCCTTCTGGAAGAAATTTTGTACACAGGAAAAAAAAATAAACACTATTGTAGAACCAATAGATCCCTCAGAATCGAATATATAGTTATATGTTATAACTTTTATACAAATATTTCCTTAATTATATTAGGTACCTACTTCATTCATAGTTGATCTTAGATGGCTTTTCAACCTTAAAACGTTTGAAAAAGATCTCTCTGGAGTGGTTGTAGATACTGGCAATGTACAAAACTACAAAATATTTGAATTAAAAAATGAATTTGGTATTTTTCAACCATTTTCGGTACCCAACTGATAAAAATAATCACGATATTTATTGAAAATGTTGATATGACTATAGCTACGAAAATTTTTTATAAAATCCGTAAAATCGTATGATAAAATTTGTTTTTTAATCATGTACAAACTGGACAACATTTAACATGTACGAGACACGAGTCAATGGGTAGGGTCCGGACCCCATGGACCCCCCCCCCGTAAATACGCCACTGTACCACACTGTATTAAGGGGGCTCTGGTAGTTGAAAAAATGGTTTTAGACCAAAAAGCCAGACAAAACTGGAGGAATTTGGTTTGACGAATTTAATTTTGAAAACGGATTATTATTGATTAACAAGTTTACTAGGTTTCCATCGAGGCGATTTTTAATATTCCAATTACTGTTAGTCACAACTCACAACTCATAATGCGTATTAATATATTAATATAATTACAAAAAAATCATATTTCTATTCATGATATCACAGCTGAAAAAATAGATATTCAAAATCACCTCGATGGAAACATGTAGTAAACTTGGTAATCAATGAAAATCAGTTTTAAAAATTGAAATCCGTCAAACCAAATTCCTTCAGTTTTTTCTGGCTTTTGGTCTATTAACAACTTTTTTTTCATCGGCTACAGCCCCCTTAACATTTAAGATTAAGAAAGCTGACAAGTAGGACCTAACACTTAAGGATACAAACATACATTTCATTTTAAGATATAGTTTCTTTAATCGAGGTCATGTAAACTCGACGATTTAATACATGATTGTAGGTACCTGATCTGTCCGAATAACTAATGGAAACCATTTAAATACAATACCTATATAAAAAATATAAATATTAATTTCTAGTTTCTACTACAACCATATTATAATCTGCAACCAAAAAAAAAGTTTTGATTTCCACCATGAATTCTGTTTAAATACTTTAAAATGAGAACTTTAGAAAATCCTTTCTTATCTAGTCTCTACATTATAAAACAAATCTAGGAACCCAGGAAAAAAAATCACCGACTCTAGGAAAAAAGGGTAGGGTCCAAAACATGCATATTGTGATTTTATTGAATTTAGGTTTTGATATTTGGTTAAAAATAAGACGTATTGAAGAAATTAAGGGGGGTCCAAACCCCTGGATCCCCCTCAGACACGGCCTTGGGTAACCCTTAACATAATATGTATTAATCACAGATATATAAAATGAACTAAGATCTTAGTTCATGATATATTATACTCAGTGTCGGCCTGGCATATAAAAGGCCTCGGCCGCAATTTTTCTCTGGGGCCTCGATTTTTTTTCTTCATTTACTATATATGAACAAGGTCGTTCCTAGAGTTATTGTTTATCCCCCCCCTCCGCTCAACCAGCCAAAATGTTAATGAATTATTTTTTGTAAACTAACTTATGATATATTATGTCAGAATTCAGTTTTTTTCTTATGAATAAAAATGAAAAATGACTATAGTTGTATGATTAAAGTGAAACCTGTATAGGGAACAGCACCGTTTGATGCTCACCGTTAACCGCCAATTATTAACGCTGACTTTTACCTCCCTCCCCCCACTCACCAAATAGTGGCTCGATTAAAATTTTTCCACTTTTACAATTCTCTACTAAAACCAAGTATTAACTTCTGACGTGCTTAATGATACACATGATTTTAATAAGTTAGTAAACAAAATGTAATTCAAATTACGAAAAAGATATCATCCAAAATATAATAAAGAAGACAAACAATGAACAAAAGTTGACACAACATTATTTTTAAAGAAAGTACCTAATAGCCAAATATAAAAAACTTACTAAATGAGCAATTCATGTAACATTTTAGATGACTTAGCCAAAACAATTGGGAATATATTATATTATTTTGTATAATATCTATAAAAATCATAAAATATTTGTTTGATAGTTGATTGGTAGTGAGTAGTAGGTTATAGCCGCCAGAGTATAACAACCATCAACCGAATAGTACCCACCAACAATTTTCAATAGATAACCAAATATTGAATTTAATTTTTCTCTCGTTACGATTTTCCCGACAATTTTGTTGTACACTTGTACCTATGGGCTGTAGCAAACCCTGTTGTACAAAAAATCTTATGTGCGTTCAAATCATCTCGTTTATCATTACATTTGTACTACACCTTATACGAGTAAACAGCACACCGCACACCCCACACGTATACACCATGACAAAATATAGATTCTATTATATCGTACTAGATAGTAGATACGTGTTTGTAGTGATTGTACACTACACTCAAATTCTATAACTTATACACAGGGCCGGATTTAGGATGGTGGGGGCCCTAGGGCCCATCATATGGCCATATAAGGTTGACATATAACTTACTTCAAAAGCTGAAAGGTAATTATCTCGTGGGGGCCTCTTATTAATTGAATCTTGTGGGGCCCCGGGCCCCGGTGGGCTCTCTTTAAACCGGCCCCGTTTACACACTTCGTCAGTAGAGCAACTAGGCCAATTGTCACTTTCAATGAAGGGCTCTATTAAAGTTTTATTAAAAGTTTTTTACGATTATTTTTATGAATAAAAATTGGGGTGGTCATATTGATTGGATTGTAAAAATTTTTATCCAAATCTAATATGGAAAAACAATATTTTTAGTTAAGACTTAGGCTGGGGCCCCTGCAGCCTGTGGGCCCCAGTGAACGACACTCCCTCGTCCATCGTCGTACATTTAATTGTACCGTATATTTGACGCTTTGTTGACTACTCTACGTTGGGGTGGTGGTCCTGGCCACTAATTAGTAACTAAAAAAAAAAAAGCTCAGGGCCTCGGCCGACACTGATTATACTATTATAGTATCAAGGTGTATTGATACATATCAATGCACCTTGTATAGTACATGACAAAATAGACAACAGACAACAGACAAGTAGACAACAGTGGTATAACTTTTACTATAGTCTATTTCTTGAACTTGATAACAATTTTTGTTCTATAAAATACATTAAAATATGTTCCACATATTATCAAATATACAATAATTGTACATTCGTTAATAATAAATATTAAATAATAATATTATCAATGCTGCTTTATTATCTCCAGTAATTGGATTTCATTAATATTGCCGGTAAGCAACATTAGTAAGACTTTTTACTAAAACACAATATTAGCAATGACAATATGTTTTTTAACCATTTACTACTAAAATAATAATATTGTGCAATTTGTTTCAATTGCATAGTAATATTAGTAGTGTACAAGATAACATCCACTTTGGTCTTAGAAATGGTTTTTTTTTATTTATTCATATTTTTAAATATCTCAACATTGCATAAATAAATTAGACTGAAAGTAGTGTTTTCATTAAAAAAAAAATATACTATGGTAATGCACTCATAAAGAGAAGCAAAATAAAAACAGTTGTTACTTGATATCTTCCCTCGTATATAGATATTTTGGTAAAAACTTAAAAGAAAATAATAATGTTACATGTTACTAAAACTGAGGGAAAAATAATAACTTAGCGTACAATTTTCTAATTCGGCATAAAACAACAATGTGTAATTAATTGATAATTAAATACAGTTAATATTATTTTACATTATAAAATAAAATTGTGAGTATAAAATATCTTCAATGATACTGACATATAAGATATAAAAAAAAAATGTATATTACAAAACTTGTAGCACAATACATATCAATTTAAATCATGCATAGTTTAAAACATTAATTTAATTTCAATTTTTAAAAGTATTAAAATGTAATATTTTTAATACATCATTCCAAACCATTTATTTTGTTACTATATAACAAAAAATAACAAGTGATGATATAAAATAAAAATAATAGAAGCGGGGGTTACAGTAAAGATTCAAATTTGTCACAAAAATAAAACATTAACGGTCAAATGTGAAAATCAATTATTAGTCATCAAAAGGCTTTGTAACATCTTCATCTGTTCTGGATTCAATACAGCTAAAGATGCATTAAATACCTCTTGGTTTGCCTAAAATCATATTATAAATAACAAAATAATTAATTAAAATCAAATATTTAAGCAGTATTTATATCAATAATGAATATAACATTACACATTACAAAATAAATAGTATAATATGATATATCATCAGGCATTTAATATTAACCTATCATTTTAGATGTATTTAAAATATATTATTTGATCTAGTTTTGTATTTTCTCATTTATTATAAATATTTATAATCAACTAATTAATATGTTATATATGAGAGCCGTACAAAAAGTGAGATTACAATGTTTTTTAAAAATTGAAAAATGCATATTTTTCATGAATTTACTGGGATTAAAACCAGCCCGCAGGTATCGTTATTTTTTCAAATAATCATTGTTTAAAACTAGAATAAGGAGACTAAATTCCGCTTCTGACAATGTTCCGAAATGAAATAAATTTTTTTCATGCGGGCAGCCATATGAGTTTGATCTCTTTGTTCTAGTCTTTATGGTTTATAACAATGCACTATTATTGGCGTAATACTAAATATTTTTGTTACTCATGTCAAAGAACTTTATACCATGGCTAAATATAAAGGTATGTTCGCAAATTTGTGATATATAGGTTTCATGGCCGCTACTGGCTGTGCATATTATCACTTCGATTTATTAGTTAGCTAACAAAACAATACAAATTATTAATTCCATGGCTCAATAAATCAAAATATCAATGCCAGCTGAGATTTCTTTCAATACTTAATTCATGCAATAATAGAATGTACACGGCTAAATAATGAAAATTTGTCACAATTCTATCATACCTATATATTAGTATTTGGCTACTTATTAACAGTATCGTTTCTCTTTTACCTATAATGGAATACCGTCACCTACTCCCTTACAGACAGAATGTGCTAATTTGAATGCACTTGTGTGCACATTAAGTGTTTTTTAAAACAAAAATCAAAAAGAATCAAAACAAAAAATAACTTGAAATTGTAAGATCACCAAATGTATAGAGAGAACATTATCTGTGCTTAAGCATTATTAAATGTTTGATAAACATAAACTTGATCCTCCATTTTTTTTTTAATTTATTAAAGAATACAAAAAAAATCCTGAATTAAAAAAATGAACAGAAATAAAACTATTGTACCTGACAAAAAATGTCCACGCTTAAGCTTAGATAACATTCTCCATTATTTTATCCATGAAAATGAAGTGATTTCAGTATTATCAACACTTTTACAGTATTTAAACACTAAAGGTCGTTCTTACAATGTCCGGTTAAATGTCGTTTAAGACTAAGCAGCAGATTATATCGGTAACACAAAAGAAAAGCTGAGGGTTAGCGTTATCCAACACTTAACCGGACATTGTAAGAATGACCCTTAAAGGAGCAAAGGCGGTGGTGGTGTTTTCTTTGACACAAGCAACACAAATTGGTAAACTATAATAAAAAAATATATACCTATATATTATATTTGAAAGTGTCACCATTAGATGGCTTCCTTCTTCAAAATATACTCATATTTTTTTTTTACTCTAAGCTAGTAGAGTATAATTATATAGTATAATTACTATAATGTCTCAAGTATACATAAAATACTTTAATTACCTGTATTCCTCTAACAATCATAATCATTCGTTGGGCAACAGTATGTGTTCTGTCAATTGCATCTCTTAAAAATGCTTCTGCAATAATCCTTATTAAACTAGGAATATTAGAATTGTTTTGTCCCAAAACCAAGGGATGGTGACTTTCGATGAGTTTACACAGGTACCCGTATACAAATGGAGCTTCGTCAGTATCTTCAGATACAGGTAAATAGCACAGCCTAAAAAATGTTGTTTGTGTTATTTTGTAATAAAATTTTTAAAACTATTGATTTAGTATTACCAGAGAGGTAATATCTCATTAACATTAACAGCTGAACTGTTATATTCTAATATTTTGGCAATGGCTGATATGGCATTTTCAGTTGCACTTATGTTATCAGCAGATCGGGCTTCATTGTTATTGATCACCTGTAGAAGGAATGGCATAATTTCAGCACACACACCAGCAAAACTAGGTCCTCCACACATCCCTAGCACTCCACAACCATAAATAGCTGCCTGGCGAACTTCACTGTTAATATCCGTGACATATGCAACCATAGGTCTTAAGAAATATTCTTGATATTTAGCACAACCAGGCCCACAAAATTCAATAAGGTCATCGAAGACACAAAGACCCCACTGATGATCAGATGCACTCTTATCAGTATCCTATAAATGTTATGATATTAAAGAAGTTATAAATATAAAATAAGTGAACATAGTAAAATCTTACCAATAATTTAGCAAATTGATGTACAATAAGATCAAAATATTGAAAGAAGTCTGTTTTAAAAGTGACAAAGAGAGCATGCATAATGTCGGTCATTTTGCTTAATTTATAGACGTCATCAGTATCTTCCAAAGCTAGTCTTTCTTCGACAACCTAATAATATACACAAATTATATAAAAAGGTTTGAATAAAAAATTAACATATGTTAATCTCATCAATTCGTACCTCATCATAATCTTCATCTTTACGTCTTTCAAAGCGTTGAATTTCATTTTCAAAATGAGAAGTTAAATTTTTTTCCAAAGTATGCAATAGATCTTTCATCCATTTGTCTGACAAGCATCCTGTTCCCAATAATTCTATGCACTAAACATTACATTTATAAAATTATAACAAATATAACAAATGAAAATTATTATTTTTAATTATTTACTTTTCCTAATGCATCATACATCTCAGCACTAACATCTGGTTCTGGTTCAGATTCAATAGCTTGCAAAAGTTCGGGACAAATATAACCCCACATGTGTTGCAAATATTCTGGTCCTGTTATAAACAAAATAATTTATCAATATAAATAATACATTTTTTTTTTTTATTGATCTTTAAAGCCGGCCGACTATGGCTATTAGACTATTGTAGGGTTTTTATGATGTAGGGATGTAATGTTAAATAATAAATTATGAAGAGGATGAAACATATTTACTTGATACTTATTATTTTTTATTTCCTCGACAACTCATATTTAAATTTTAAATAGGGCAATTTATTTTCTCAAATATTACTCATTAAAAACTAAAAAATCTTTATGGGTTTAAGTAACAAATACATATCGATATAACTTAATATAACATAATATTATTTATTAAAAATAAATAGTAAATATTTAAGAGGATGCTACACAGACATTTGTTGTCTCAGTCAAACAAATGCCTAACATAGCAAATTTTACGCTCAGCTAATCACTTTTAGATCTGTTGGTTTTAAAATTAGTGATTTTGACCTCTTAAAAAATTTAAAGCTAAGACCCATTATCTAGGCTCTAGCGCATGCATCTCGCATGCAGGCTTTTTATTATATTTTTATTTTAAAGCGAGTTATGAGTATTATAAAATTTAAAATTGTTTGTAGGTACACCTTAAAATACTCATAACTAGCTTTAAAATTAAAATATAACAAAAAGCCTATGAAATGCCCAGATGATTTTCTTACCTTTAAATTTTATAAGACAACAATTCACTTTCATTTTTAATTGCTATGTTACACTCTAGTAAGACGGAGATAACAAATGTCTGTATAGCATACTCTTAAGTAAATTTTTAGAAAATATATCAAGAGGACCTCAACAAACTGTTTGTTTTTACTCTCTAGCCCTTGCGCAACGTAGACCAAACACATTCACACATAATCATTTTTTTAAGTACTCTTAGAGTAAAATCATAGATAGCAAAAATTATAGGGAATAATATTTTTGAGGATCTGACATATCAATTGTTTGGTACTGGTTTGTTACATCCCCGCCTGTGTTTTTAAACAACCCAAATAATGGAATAAATACATATATAATATAATCTAACCAATGATAAGTACGCAACTAGTATTTTGAGGCCCCGATGAAATATTGAAATGGTAAGTCAGGGGGTCTGAGAGAGAAAACAATATTCTAAAATTCTTTAAATAGTATTCATAAATTATATTATTTTAGTTAATAACTCAAGGGGAACTGTGCTGCAGAGTATTTTTAAGCTTATAATTATAACTTAAAATAGATTCTAATAGTGCTACCAAAACATGTTTCTGAGTTTATTATTACTAATAACCTAGTTTTATATGAAATTTAATTAAATATTATACTCTACCTTCGAGAAAGTTTCAAACATTCAGAAAATATATTTAAATAACCATCAAAAAGTAAATTTTGCAAGAACATTTTTTGTATACGATATTAAGTTAATAATCAAAGTATAACAAATGTTAATTATTAATGCAATAAATTAATAAATTAATTCAAAAAACAATAAATCTACCCTATTTCAATTTTTCTATCATAAAAACATGAGAAAAATCAACCGAGATTATTTTTTCACATTAACAAAAAATGGAAAGAATTTTGTTTACATCTCCTAAAGAAGACTTTAAACTAAGCACCGATTTATTGTGTATATCAGACAAACAGAAAAAATGAGTGTAGCAACGCTTGATTAAATTTTTTAACATACCTCTAGTTTCTGCGCACTCCAAAAGACTAGGCATACTTTGAGCTGCAGCAATTCTAACATTATCGTGAAAATAAAATTTCAATAAGGGCACCATAAGTTTAACAACATCTTCTGCATAGGGCGCAAACCCAGTTTTCAATTCTCGTGCATAACAAACAAGCATCTCACAAGCTGATGCCTTGTCTTCTAGACCTGAAGTTCTAATACCAAAGTTTTGTTGCTCTCCTAAAGGTACAAACTGCCATTCACTATTGTCAGTCATATTACTCATGTCATCATTATCCAGCAACGCAACTTCAGGTTTCAGTGAAGCAGCAGCCATAACTGGACCGATAACCAAAGGTAGATACTGTTCGAATTTTGGACCTATTAAATAAATCTTTATTAGTATTTAAAACGCATTGGATTTAACAACACATACCCATGACTTTACACATTCGAGCCCAAGATGATATCAAGTATGAAGTTTGTGGATCATCTTCTAAGAGTTTTTCATCTTTGTTATGTGTTGCCAACATTAAATCCATAACATCACTAGCATCCACCAAAAACTATGAATAAAACACGTAAAACGTAAATCAATCAAATACATAGGTTATCATTTTTAATTAACTTACTTTCTCTTGACCAACAGCCAAACCTATTAAGCTAACACATTCTATTGTTTTGCCTCTTAACAGCTTTAATTCTGGAGCAACAGCATTACGAATGATTTCTTTTAAACATGGCATAAGGTGGTCATAAAACTTAACAAAATCTCCTTCACATGTGTCAGCCACAGATGCGATGGTGGTTACCATTTGCTCTAATACTAGTCGTCTACCACCGCCTTCCACGAGATCAGCAATTCGAGCTTGTAATATACTTTCAAGTTTTACCATAATCAGATCCATGTAAGATAAAAGGGTTCTTTTAGGACAATCTTCACAAAAGTTTACAAGAGCAGCTCCTAAAAATTATTTAATAAATAATCAAAAATTCATAAAAAAAATAAATAAATCTGACACCTTACAATAAAATAAAGAAGTTAATGCGTCCTTATATTCATTATATCAAAAGTAATTGTAATTAAAATAGTTGTGCGAGGCATATTCAATAATGGCAATAGCCAATAAGTAATAATTAATATATTTAAAAAACCTAGAAATTAATTCAAATGAATACTAAAATCACAGATTGAAAATATTTATAATCGAAGCAAGGGATAAGAAAATTAAAAAAATAAGTTAGGTTACCATATTATAATATTTCAGCATTATAGTTATCATTTGAGTACAAAATTATATTTTTTTCCCCCTGATACACAAATATAAATATTCTCATAGAAAAACATTGTGATTCTAAGATATAATAAACAAAATTCTTCTGCAAATATTTTATCTCAGTAAGTAAATTTTCAACATAATAAATGCATACAAATGTGTTAAACATGCAATACAAAACGCTTTTAATTTTTTTGTTTTCGGTTTTGTTGATTGATTTAAAAAGTGTCGTTTTTGATTAACGTTTTTAAAAAAGTTATTTTTCCATGTTGTTTTTGATAATACTGTTTTTAATTAATTTATAATGGTAATGTGCAAAATAGAAATGCACTTACGACTTAAAAATTAAAAATTTCTGATTTCAAATTAAAATGTTTTTAAGTTTTAAAAGATTAAAAAGTAGACTTAAGAGAAATTTTTTTCATACATTTTTTTTTTTGTGGTATAATTATAATAATGTATAAGACAATAATTTATTTTTGTTTTTGTTTTTGATTTTTTTTTTCAGTTTTTGGGATTTTTTGTTATCGTTTTTCAGTTATTTTTGTTTTTTGTATTTTTCTGTTTAATAATGTTTTTTTAAAAACGTTTTCCATTCCTGGTAAAAATATAAAGGCCCCCAACTCAGATTAAGAAAAAAATATATTATTTTGGTTTTATAATATACTATTATCAGTATTATTGTTCAAAAAAAATAAACATTTTCATGAACTTTGGCTTGTATCAAATTCAATTTTTTTTGTTAAAAGAAAATATTTTTTTCAACTGTTTAATTTGTATTATTTAGGTACTACATTTTTTACTGATATTGTATATTAACCAGACTCATAGGCGTAATCTATATTAGAGCAACTGTCCCCTCAGGTACCCCCCCCCCCCAAGAATTTAACTAAAACCAGAATATTAAAGTAACCATAATCAAATTGTAAATATTAAACATTATTATTTATGTGGATAATTAATCAACAATATAATTTACCTGCATGTGCTTGAACTCTAGGATTCAAATTATCTTCAAGTAACAGTAATATAGCTGGCACAATTTTGTCATGGAATTTCTTTTGAAAAGTTGGTGCAAAGTCTGCTGCCATCTGTCCAATAGCATTGCACATTGAATATCTTACTCTAGGATGCTAAACGAATAATGATAACATTAAAATATTGTTTTAAATTGTAACATTAAATTACTAACTGGATCTTGTAAGAAAGTTAAAATTCCATCTAAAATTTCTGGGAGCATAGGCAACATTTGTTTATGACAGCCTTCCCCCACAGCTGATATTGCCATCAAAGCGGCATGTCTAAAATATTAAAATGGTTTGATAAATATAAAGAAATAAAATATAACCTTTAAGGTTAGGTTAAACCTTAACTACTATATTTTTTACCTATACTTCCAATTTGGATTTGCCAACATTGTTGACACATTACTTAATATATGTGGCAACATTGTTTTACCACCAAGACCACAGGCCAGCCTGTCCAGCGCAGATTCAGCTATAACACTCATACTTAAAACAAATAATAAACACCAAATTATATACTTTGAAATATTAAAATCATATGATACTATATCGCCAATAAAAAGTGTTATTACCTTTCTTGGTCAGTTTCATCTGGATCATCTTGAGTACCCCAATCATTTTCATCTTCCACAGTAGCCATGAGTTCCAACACTTGTCCAACTAATTGTACAATATACTTAGATGATTCTTTACGCATCATTGCTGGTGCTGTTTCAGCTAATGTAACAACTACTTCAAGGCACATCTGACGGTATGATTCACTTGTCTCGTCGTTTCCGAGATACTGAAAATGTTGACAATATAATTCTGAACAGCATTTATTTAAAATAACTAAATCACCTTCAAACACATTTCTATTATATTCGACAACTGAGATCTTAAAAACTTTGGGGCATTTTCAGATAAATCAACCAATAGTTTAATCAATGAATCATCTGTTTCAGTCATTAAGCTTTCATTTGTTATCTATTAAAACAAAATACAGTCATTTTTTATTTCATTGGTTTTTCATAAAAAGCCTTACTCTCATCATGTTTGGTAATAAATCAGTAAATTGTTTTTGGATTTCTATAATTTTGTCATGGTGTAATATAAAAGCACAAATTGCTTTAACAGCTTGTACTTGGACCTTTAACATAATTAATAAAAATTAATAAGTAATATTAATATTTAACTCAAAGACAATAATATTTACATTTGTATCTGGTACATTTAATGATTGCTGGAGCATTTGTTTTATCACAACCAAATAGTTTGATTGTTGATTACCAAAAACGCCAGGTACATTTCTAATATAAAAAAAAATAAATGATTTAAAAAGAACAAGTTTAATTTAAGTGCCCGAAATGCTTTACTAACGTGAACATTCTAAGTGCAGAATCTTTCATATCATTTGAAGGCGAATTAGCACATTGAAACAGGAAATTCAAAAATTCTGGCCAGCTGTTATTACCATCATCATCCAGCTGATTTCTAGCTACTTCAGAAGCAACATCACACATTCTTCTACGTAACACGTCATTTTTTTCGTTATTTACAGTTAACAACAAATTGTCTTTGAACTGTTTCTGATTTTCAGGTGATAACTAAAATAATAAGTCAGTTAAAAAACAATTTTTATAGACAAAAGTAAACTAAGAACTAACATTAGGAAAAAATTCCAAGAAATCATTTGCCATAAGTCTGCGCAACATTACTGCTGCCACTTGTTTTTCATCTGCATCACCAGCTTGATTTTGCACAGCATTAAACAAATATAATACTTTTGATTCTAGAGGTAAAGATTGATAAGTCTCCTAAAAAAAAATTTGGTTATAAAATATTAACTCATGTATAAAATAACAAAACAAATAGGTACTACATTTTAAATATACTATAAATACATATAACATAAGTAATATAACCTAATAGTGCTAATACTTAATAGGTACCTAATCCTAACCTAACTAGTTATTACTAATTGTAACTGTAACTAATTCTGCTACATATTTAAGCATACCTACAATTAATTAAGAGATAAAATATAATGGGATAATTTAAGTATGTAGGTATATGAAACAAGTTTGGATTGATATAATATTAGGAGGAAATGTTTTAATATTATAATGAAAATAATTTAACAATCAAAGATAAATTTGAAACAAAGTAAAGCTGAGTTTCAACAATCATACCATGTTATGTAGAGTTGAATATGGTAATTTGTTACCTACCAAATTTAGCCACCTATGTAAAAGATATAGGTATAGAATACAGCAAGAAACGGTTTAGTGGAAATCCAGCTTAAAGTTAACTTTTAACCTTCTAATCTAGAAACTTAAACATTTAAATTCTGGTAGAACAATGTTTGGTTCTAAATAAAAAAAAGATAAAACTGAAATAAAATCAAAACAAATGATTTATAAATTTTCTACTAAATCATAACTGTGAACAGATGGGTAATAGGTACACTTTATAACAAGTTACATTTGAGAACTCCATGAGAAAATGTAAGTGTTTAGAATTTGATCAGGGAACACAAATTAAATTGAATGAAAATCAACAAGTAGTCGTTTACGGGAGTTCCGCAGACTGTACTAATTCCAAACATGAGTGGAAACATTACAAGATTCAAGAGAAATAATGGATTTGGAACGCATATACATCAGTGTTCTGATTGTTCGATGGATGAACGGATAGATAAACTGTACATTACACAGATCAATGAGACGAGTGAGAAGGGATGAGACGACTGGCACATATTTTAAGGTCGATGAGGAACCAACGACCGACCACCCAGCCCATTACCGACCCACAGTGAAAAGTGTTAATTTACCTCGGCGGTCTGCCGCACATTATTGTCGGTACTCAGCAGACTGGTGAGTATTTGATAGAAATCACTCATGTTGTCGCCTTCGGCCATGGTTCAGTTCGCGATGACACTCCGTGTTCCTGCGGTGGTTGCTGCGCTGCGAAACTCGTTATCGATGATCAGACAACCGTTGGCGCGTACTATTGCCGGCGCGCGGATGGCCACTGACGACGACCACGAGTCGGTTGCTACCGGTTAAAACGCAATACCCGCACTTCACCAATCCGGATTTGGTTAGGAATTCGAGACGCGTGCTCCGTTCTGCAAAGCCGGAGTACGTATTCTAAATTCTATAGTTCCTCGATTATCCTTAACTCCTACACGCTGCAAACCCGTTGACGGTCGAGGCGTTGAGCACAAAAATGTGAGACCACGGTCCACGATAATGATGGTTTGGTTACGAATATAATGTCGTTCGTGCCTTACCTTATACCCAGTAATTAGTATGAATAATAGTTAATACCGCGTATCGCAACGGCGCAGGGATGTCCAACGTGCGTGACAGTGTGGCTAGTGAGAGTAATGGCTCGCCATGATGTTCAACGAGCATTGTACATTAATTGTACAGTGTACACACTGCGGCCGTCTGGCGATTTTGATAACCACTGAGCTGAACTGAATCAAGGTTAATGTATATTGTATTTATCATAATATACTGCAGCTGATAACGCGTGCGGCACTCATAGATAATGTATACACGTATAATATATTATATATATATAATATATATTATGTAGGTATATCCATGGTGGTAGTATGGCACTGAGGCGAGAGGAGTGCGGCGTGCCGCGCCCTTGAAAATTGGCAGTAATATGCATTATAAACACCGATCCAAGGTCAATACTCAATTGATTATATTATATCATGATTCATGAAATGACTCAAGCGTCATGACAAAATAAATGAAAATAATTATTTTGTCAATTACCTATTGTCATATTATATTGTATTAGTTTTACTCTTCCGCTACTCCTTAAAATAATAATAATAACTACTCTCTACTAGTCTACTCTTATATCTCTAAAACAGTGTATCGTATCCCAAAGGGTGTGTCATGAAAACTTGAACTTTTCTATTTTAACCAAGTATTACACTTTTGAATGTTACTGTTTTATACAATATATAATAAAATGTTCGATATTGAAAAAAAAATAATATATAAATTATAAGTATAATATTACTTTATGGTTTACTCTGTCCAGCGAGAGAATGCTTCGATTCTGCTCGTTTTGACCTGGTGAAGCGCAGCAGAACAGATTTTTGTCAGGCCACGGTGTGTCTTACACTCTCTAGGTGAAAAAAAAAACAAGAAATTGACAATCTAGATTTTCCAGCTTTAATCTGTTCTACTTCTAGTCCAAATCAGCCAGAGTTAAAAAATCCTAAATAAAAACTGAAATACTTAATCAAATAAAAATAATTGTAATGGCATTATTGATTTGGGCAATTCAGAGAGAAGAGATCTGAATTAGCAGTATTTTAAATAAAAATAATTTACTGGAGAAAAAAAACATGTTAAAATTGTTGTTAAAGTTTTATTTCTTAATCTGTTACTGTTTCACTCATATTAAAATATAGTACATAAACATTTAACATACATTTGAAATCACATTGTTAATATACAGACTGTGACAGCAGGAAACCTGCCAGATGAAATAACATTTATTCTAATCATTATTTTTAAATTATATTTTTATATATAATTTATAGTCACGTCTTGTGCTAAACGTATTCAAAATAGTTAATTTGTTAATCTGATTATGAAGACAATTTTAATGGTAAAAACATTTAGCTAAGTCAAATAAATAATTTTTTAGAATATTTTACTTGTCAGGTGGCACTGCTGGGAGGGAGTCTTCCTGCTCTATAATTAATATTATTTTATGTCATCAGTCATCACACTTACCTTGTCGTATAGATCGTGTAAAAAAAAAGAATATTTTAAAATATTAATATTTAGAAAGTAATTTTTGTCATGCGTTTAATAGAAGTATTTTTTTTTTTTACAGATCTTCCTGTTACGCCCTATCAGTGCCGTAGACAGGAATTTTATATGGGGGGGGGGTTTATTAAAATAATAACATGTTATACCTAGTAAATGAAAAAAAAATAACACATTATTTATATTTTTATATCTTTATTTTAGTGTCTTATAAGTTATAATATCAGATCTATTTTTCTTTCAGATTCTGAGTGAAACGATGAATGTATTGATTTTACAATGATGTGTGTTTTAGATTCTGAGCGGAGCGATGAATGTATTGGTTTTACAATGATGTATGTTTTTATAGTTTTATTTATATTTTTATATTTTTATATTTTTGTGTCTGTCATCACGTTTTAGGACAGTAAAAGTGCTTCGATTTTCTTCAATAGTACCTTTTCTGATAGGAAAGTGAATCTAGTTGGTACTTTGGGGGGTCAAAAGTAAACATTTTCCAGTAGTTTTCACAAGCGCCGGGAAAAACAACATAAAAATTAAGGAAAAACGGGAATTTTTACGCAAAATCGATTTTCCAAAAAATCGAATTTGGTTTTTGGTGTAACTTTAAAACAAATGACCGTAGATACATGAAATTTTCACTGGTTGTTTATATTTGCATTTTCTATACACGATAACATTTTCAAAATATTTTGATTTATTTTGAACTGTTTAGGGACATTTTCATTTTTCATTTTTTTTTAGTTTTTTTTCTAGAAATATCAATAAAATTTTATTTGTTGGTTGCGAAAGCTTGAAAATTTAATAGAAGGCTCCTAATATGTTGTTTCAAAGGCAGATGAAAAATATTAAAAATCCTTAGTCACAATTTTTTTTTATAAGCATTTAAAGTTCAAAAATTGACAAAATATGGAAAAATCACGAAAATTAGCAAATTATTTTGAGTTAAGAATTCGTAAAAATTTTTCTTTTTAAATCTAAGATTTGAAAATGAAACACAAGATTCCTTATAAGATTATCTACCTTTATCAATAAAAAAATCTCTACCGGACAGTCAAATTAAATTTTTATGAGCGTTTGAAATTCAAATTTTTACAACATTGGATTTTCACTCGATTTCTCATGTAGCGATTTCCTTATTTTGTTGTAATTCAAAAACGAATAACTGTAGATACATGAAAATTTCACTGAATGTTTATATTAGCATTTCCTATACACCATACAATTTTGAAAAGATTTTGACTCTTTTTGAGCTGTTTACGGACATTTTCAGTTTTCAATTTTTTTAGTTTTTTTTTTTATAATTGTCAATAAAATTTTATTTGGTGGGCCAAAAAGTCTGAAAATTTAATTCAAGCTTTCTTATATATTGTTACAATATCAGTTGAAAAATTTTAAAAATACATAGGCCCGATTTTTTTTTATAAGCATTTAAAGTTGGAATTTTGACAAAATTTATCAAAATCTCGAAAATTATCAATCGTTGGAATTAAAAAATTATAAAATGTTCAGTTTTTATAACTAAGAGTTGAAAATTTAAAACAAAGATTCTCTTAAATAATTCATACTGTAACCAAAAAATCTAAAAAATATATAAACACACTTATTTTTTACAGACATTTTAATTTCAAATTTAAACCAAGAATTACGATTTTAGTTATTTTGTTGTGATTGAATAATACTATTCGTGGGTACTTGAAACTTCTAAAGTGTACTATTATATATCTATGATAGTATCACGGTTTTTGTTGATGTATAACGCGTTATAAGTATCTAATGGATATTGTGATATGATTAATTTGGAATTTATTATAGGTACCTATTATAGGTCAATTTTTTGTTTAATACCATAGATATGTATATAATATGCCTTATACAAAGACTGACATACCATCACCGCTCAGAATCGTTTTTCTTATACAATGATATTATATCATTGAATTCAAATTTAATACCATCCATTATACAGTGACCCACTTGTAACCTGCTGTACAGCAGAGCGACACCCACTTGCCCACCTTTTTTTTTTTTTTTATTTTTTGTTTTTTTTTGTGTCTGTCAGCACGTTTAAGGACAGTAAAAGTGCTTGGATTTTCTTCAACAGTAGCTTTTCTGATAGGAAAGTGAATCTAGTTGGTACTTTGGGGGTCAAAAGTAAAAATAGTAGTTTTCACAAGCGCCGGGAAAAACAACATAAAAATTAAGGGAAAACAGGAATTTTTACGCAAAATCGGTTTTCCAAAAAATCGATTTTGGTTTTTAGTGTAACTCTAAAACAAATAAACGTATATACATGAAATTTTCACTGGTTGTTTATATTTACATTTTCTATACACGATAACATTTTCAAAATATTTTGATTTATTTTGAACTGTTTAGGCACATTTTTATTTTCCATTTTTTTTTATGAATATCAATAAAAATGTATTTGTTGAGTAAAAATACTTGAAAATTGAATACAAGACTCCCACTATATTGTTTCAAAGACAGATGAAAAATATTAAAAATCGTTAGTCATAGTTTTTTTTTTTAAGCATTTAAAGTTCAAAAAATGACAAAATATGGAAAATCACGAAAATTAGCAAATTATTTTGAGTTAAGAATTCGTAAAAATTTTTCTTTTTAAATCTAAGATTTAAAAATGTAATACAAGATTCCTCATAAGATTATCTACATTTATCAAAAAAAAAAATGTCTATAAGAAAGTCAAATTAAATTTTTATGAGCGTTTGAAATTCAAATTTTTACAACATTGGATATTTGGATATTCACTCGATTTCTCATGTACCTAGCGATTTCCTTATTTTGTTGTAATACAAAAACAAATAACTGTAGATACATTAAAATTTCACTGAATGTTTATATTAGCATTTCCTATACACCATACAATTTTGAAAATATTTTGACTCTTTTTCAGCTGTTTGACTGATATTTCAAAGTCTAACATCTCAGCCAATCGCTCTATTTAAAAATATAATTATAGTTAAAAAAATGAACATTAAAATTGAATCTAAGGCATTCATTACTTGAGCTTCTTTGAACATTTTTTTAAATTAATGATCTACATTTTCCCTTAAATTGTCAAGAACCTTGATACTGATATTGGCCA